AACCTATGAATTCAAAATTATGTATTTTAAATAAGAATCAATAATTCAAGTAGAGAAAAAAGGATTAACGAATAAAAATGATTTGTTTTAAAATTTTTATGTTTCATTTTTCTATATAAAAATATTTAATTTTACTCCCTCCTTTATCAGCATAAAATGGGACTAGTTAATGGTATTTTTACAAGTATTTCAAGTGTATATAACAAGATAAATCCATTAACATTTGGTGGAGCAAATGATGTTATTATAGTAAAGAAGAAAAACGGTGAGTACAACTGTTCTCCGTTTTACATAAGATTTTCTAAACTAAATTTTTGTAACAGTAGAAGTAGATTGGTGAATGTGCTAATAAATGGAGAAGATAGTGGAATAACAATGACAATAACTAGTGCAGGAGATCTTTATTTTAAAACATCAGACGAAAAAGAAGAGTATGTTTTGTCTGGAGTACCAAACCTAAGTGACATCGTAGAGAGTGTGTTGTCCAATGCATTGTTTCTTAAAGAAGCTAAATATGAGAAAATAAGTAGAAGATTACAAATAAATGAAGAATATTTTGATAAGATGAGAAGAAATAATTTGAATTTAAGAAAGTTTTTTAGAAGAGAAGTTGTTCCAATATCAGAAAGATTTGATGAAATTTTTTTATCATGTAAAGATCTTGAACGAGCACTGAATATTCCAGAGTACTGGGAATTGAATATCAAAAAATATAAAGAAATTACTAAGGCCTTTGAGTATATATTTACAAATGAGAAAAGTATAAATGGGGCACTTAAAGGACGTATAGAATTTTCGAATTGTCTTTTCAATCAGTATGAAAGTATAAGTGAGATGGAAAAAGAATTTAAAGACTTTTACACAACTGAAACTAAACATACTGAGAACTTAGCAGTAAGAATTAAAGGAGATAGATCATATTTCTATTTTAAGTATAATAAGTTTGTAAGACTTTATTTTGAAACAATGGCAACTAAGAATAAGAAAATGAAGATATTAGAATTATTAGAAGAATTTCATGAAGAATCACTTGGATGGAGTATGTTTAGATCAAAGCAGTTAATTAAAAGAGATTTAGCATTGTCTATGAAATTGAATAGTAAAGAAATTTCTGATTTAAATTTAAAGAAAGGAAAGAATGATGCTGAGTTTAAAATTATGGGAACTGACAGTAAACTAGCATGTTATATTTATTTATGGGATGACACTGATAAGATTGTAGTGAGTGATATAGATGGAACAATAACTAAGAGTGATATTCTTGGACAGATGTGTGGATATGTTGGTTTTGATTGGACTTATATTTCAGTAGCACCGTTATTTAAGAATATTGCCGAAAATGGATATAGATTTATTTACCTGTCATCTAGGCCTATTGGACAATCATCAGTTACAAGAAATTATCTTAGAAATATTGATCAGGGTGGATTTAACTTGCCAGAAGGACCTATTCTATTAAATAATGATGGTATTATTGCAGCTCTATATAAAGAAGTAATTAGTAAAGAAACAGATATTTATAAGAGAAATATGTTAGAGATGGTGTTAGGTCTCTTCCCAGCTAAGAGAGAAAATAGTGACATTCTTATTGGTGGATTTGGAAATAAATTAAAAGATGTTTTTGCTTATCAGGCAGTAGGAATAAAAAATAGTAGAATTTTTACTATCAAACCAGATTCGAAAGTAACGTTAGTTAATTCACTTTGTACTTACAGATCACTCAGTCATGTAGTGGATAGCATGTTTCCTAACTTATTTACAGCTAAAGAGGTACTGAAATTAAGAGCTTATAGTAATGCAGCTTATTGGAACAATCTTTAAATAAACATATAACACTTTTAATTTAAAAAGTTTATTTTAAGCTTCAATATTCAAATCTGCTTCTCCTGCATCAATAATAGAAACAACAGAAGTTCTACACTTCAACCCAAGTAAACTTGATAAATCATTGTTAGTACCAGTGTAATATTCAATCTTAAAACCATCAGTAAGTTTTCTGTAATACTCTAATTGCATTCTATGATGGTTTTGTATGTTACTTGCCAATACAAGATGTTTACATGAACCATTGATGACAGACTTAATTGTCTTATTTATACCCATTTCATATTTTCCAGTCTTAATAGCCAATGGTAATTGAGATAAAAATGTTGCTTTTTCGTTATTCTTCTTTCTATTTGACATTTTTGGGGTTAAATTTTTTTATAAAATATTTTAATAAAAATGTTTTCTTATTACAAAGTTAAGAAACTGGGAGAAGGTACTTATGCTAATATATACATGGGTTACCAGACAAAGTATATTGGTGATAAATTTATTAAAGAACAGCCTGATAGTATTGATAGAATAGTTGCTATTAAAAAGATTAAAAAACAGGAACATTCTTCAGGACAAGAAGTATCAGCTATTCGAGAGATAAAATCTCTTAAAATGATCAAAAATTCTTATGTTATAGAAATGATAGAAACTTTCTCTTATAAAAATTCACTTTATATAATCTTAGAGTATATAAATCATGATCTTGAAAAAATTATTAGAAACAAGAATATAATTATTATGCCTGGTGATATTAAATCATGGCTGTTTATGTTATTATCAGGTCTTAAAGCTTGCCATGATGAGTATTTTGTTCATAGAGATTTAAAACCTAATAATCTTTTAATTTGTTCTGATGGAACTTTAAAATTAGCTGATTTTGGATTAACTCGTTTCATATCAGATAAAATGACCCCTTATGCTATTTCGAGATGGTATCGACCACCTGAATTATTAATTGGCCAGAAACACTATTCTTTTAAAGCTGATATGTGGTCTATTGGTGTAATTTTTGCTGAAATGTTATTAAGAGTCCCGCTTTTTGCAGCTGATACTGATTTTAAACAATTAGAATTGATTTGTAAAACACTTGGAACTCCTAAAGACTCTCAATACCAAAATCTTGATTTGGTAGGATTTACTCTCCCTAACTATCCACCTGTGAATCTTAAGAAAATTTTTATAGCTGCTACTGATGACGCACTCGATCTTTTAAAGGGTTTACTAGAATTTAATCCTAATGATAGACTTTCAGTTGAAAGTGCACTTAATCATAAATATTTTAAAAACTCTCCTCCTGCAACCAGACCAAATAACTTTACATTCTTATCAATGATTTAGTTCTCATATTTAAATTTTAATAAAATCTTTTTTAAACCCTTATCATGCAGAGATTAATAGTTTCTTTTTTAAATCTAATCAGTGCAACAGCAAGAACAAATAAAGCACAGAAACAACCAGTACGTCGAAATGAGTTTGTTAGTAGAGTAAATTTAAGTCAATTCTACATTATACAGGAAAATGGTGTTCTCAAGAATTATGAATTGGGTGGGGAATATGTAGCTGTAACAGGTATAAGACCTTCTTTTATTCAGTTAGGTTATCAAAGTCCTAACTCTAAAGGATTTATTACCCTTAAAGAGCCAATTAGAAGAAAAAAATTTAGATTTTATATTGACTTCTTAAGTCCTAAAGAAGACAAAGGAGGTGTTCATGAAATAATATTTGGTTCTAAACTAAATGAAGAATTATTTACTTCAGAAAACAACAATCCAATTGGTTTTAAACTTCTTTTAAATGATAATGATAAGACTATTCAATATGTTGACTCAAAAGGTAATAAGGGACAAAAGATTTTGTTAAAGGATGTTCAATTTGTGGATATTTATAGAATAATTGTTTCTTATGAATATCCTAATACAAAAATCTCTTACTTATCATTCTATGATAGTAAGGTTAGTAACACTACAGTTGATATTTATCAAGGAACATTTGAATTATTACCAGATAGTTATTTGAGTGTTATTGGATCTTCTGGTAGTGGTGGTAATCCTTTAAAACTTTATAATATTGTAGGATATCCAGTTGAGGTAGTAAAGAAGAAGTATGTGCCACTTGCCAATGAAAAAAAGAACGATTATCTTTTGATGATTATTGGAGGAATATCCATTGTGCTTGTTTTATACTATCTTTACAGAATGAAAAATAAGGAAAAAAAATTAATTCAATAAATACCTTAATAAACTTTGTATGTTATTTCAAACAAAGTTTGTTTTTGCATGTCAAAAAAATTTATTTATTTATTTGTAGATGTCAGACAGTGAACAATACAAAAATTTATATTATGATTCCTTAAATACTATTGAAAGAGAGAAGATTACAAATAAATTAGAAAAAGAGGTGTTGGGAATTGATGAAAGATGGACCTGTTTCTGTATTCCTATGTGTTATTATATCTATGATGCAATGTTTAATGTATCATACATATCAACACCAACCGTACTATTAGATAATTTAGAAATGATCGAAAATTTCTATAAGAATAAGGCTGATATAAAAGAGGATCTAAGGTTTTTCTTTTCAGGTGGTGATAGTGAGAAGATTGCAAAATACAATAACTTAATATTGGAAAATAATCAAGTTGAAGAAGAAAGTATTGATCATAGATCACTGGGTATAGCTTGTATCAGATATATAAAAGATAATGTTTTATTTCTTAAAGGAAAAATATACAAGGTATTTGTAGCGGTATATGAAGATGAGAGAGAAGACAAGGATTTTTATGTTAAAAGATTGCCATTTATAGTTTATCAGAGATCACTCCTTAAATACTTATTAAAATTATCTAAATTGAGTAAAAATGTTGATCATAATAAATGGGATGCTGTTATATTTGATAAAGATTATTATGATAATACTGATAATCAAATAAATACAAGAATTTTTAAAGATTTATCAAACACAGAATACGATATAGTTGATTTGGCATTTTATGAATAAAATTGAGATGGATTATTGTTTTTTATTTATATGTTGTTTTTAAAAAACAATAAAATATTTAATTTGATTATATAAAAATTAAGTATTAGAAGACTTAATACAAACAAATAAAATGTTTAATTGTTTTAAACTATTATTATAATTTATTATTTATTATTAAAATTATTTTGAAAACAGTTTTAATAAAAAATTTTTATTTAATATATAAAAGTATTTATTAAATTTATATTAGTTATGTGATGATAAAACATTTATAATGATTTTGTTTTTATATAATTAATTTTCTTTATAATAAAATTAATTATATAAAAAATAAACATTCAACTATTATTATTAAATTTTTACTATCTTGTTTTTAATGATTATTTATAACAAATACTTATTTATTATAAAAAGGTTTATAAATCACGTATAATTTCTAATTTTAGTTATTAAATATTAAAAAAATTATAATAATAAAATACAACTAATTTGTCACATAAAACTTTAATAAAGTTATGAATATTTTTGCATCTTAAAAAAATTCGTTTTAATTAATCACTCATTTTAATTACTGTGATTAAAAAAGTGATTTTATATTAACACTTATCTGTATCTTTATTTTAATATTACTATCAAATTCTTGTTAGTTGGTATTGGTGAGATGTTAAAAATAAAACGTTATTTTTTTAAATATTAGTTAAGTAAGAATGATTTTTAAAAAAATTGTTAGATTCAAATGATTGAAAATTAAAAAAATTATCTAAAATATACCATGTTATACAAATTTATTAAATATAATTTTTTAATTATTTTCATTTTAAAATTAATTATGAAAGTACAAAATACTGATTTCGAAAAAAAATATTAGATGATTATAAAATTAAAACAATTAAAAGTGATAAATTAGCTATCTTAGAGTAAATTATAAAGAAAAAATTATTTTTTATTATTAGCTTAATTTTAGTTGTTTTTATATTTAAGTATATAAATTAGTATTTTTTTAGTTTAAATTTAATGATATTAACAAAATAATAAAATAAAAGATATTGTTTATTAAGAAATTAAAAAAGTTTAGAAGAGAGATAAAGGTAATATGTGAATATTTTGATAAAATTAGTAAAAGTTTAGTTGTTTTTTAAAAAATATTATTTTATTGATTGTTAAGGAGTAATAACATCTTTTATTAAAATTAAATGATAAATTAATTAATTTCAAATGTCTAGTTGTGTGTAAAAAATATCTAAAAATCTGAATGGTGATTGGAATAAAAACATATTGTTTAAACACTTATTTTATTAAAAATATATTTAAATAAACTTATTTATAATCATTAAATTATTATTAATATAAAAATTTTTAAAGTAGTTATTAAATAGAAATTTTTTTAAACAAAAATTCTTTAAAAAAATTTTTATAAATAGTTAAACATATTGTTTTATATAGAAAACTATTAAATATAAATTTTAAGTATATATACAGATTGTTTTATTAGTTTAAAAAGTTACTGAATATTAAAAAAATTATTAATTTTATAGAATACTTAAATCTGATAATAATAGATAATTTTTTAATTTCTAGAAATTATTAAAAATATAATTAAAAAATTACTTTAAATGGATTATTTATCTCATTATTCATTTAAATATACAATCATTTTAAAATAATAAAATCTAATATTAGTAAATTCAAGTGTAGTAAATTATTTCCATATTTATAAATAAATAATTTAATTTCTTTATTGAAGAATTTAATATATTTAAAGAAATTCAATTCAATTTCAATCAAAAATCTATCAAGTGACATTAAAATAATTTATTATAATTAACCATAAAAATTTTTTAATAAATTAATTTTTTTAATTAGCTTATGATTTATTGGATAATTTTTC